ACGCATCGTAGTCGCTGATTTGTGATAAGGGGCATTGTCTTGCTGAAATTGAACTCCGTCCAAATTAGTATCGCTGAAGGCAGAAAACCAGCTTCTAATACATTTATGTACCTTCGAGTGTCGAAGCGTCCCTCGCAAATGAACATTTCGCCGACACCATCAGCAGCCATGTGGCCCCAGATCATAACGATGCCTCATCCATGCTTTACAGTGGGTACCACGCAATCTGGCTGATATTATTTCCCAACCCGTCACCTCCCGAACGTCACACCAAGTGTTCCAAATATCTATAGAAAAGAAAAAAATAATGTTTTCATAAGATTTGTATTATGTCTTCAAAGTTGCTCCAGGGTAAGAAGCTATGGCTGTTAATACTATAAGACGATCTTAACTAAGCTTACCTCGAAGTTTGATTCATCAGACCACAGAGCATTCGAGGAATCTTCTTTCGGGAAATGTTAGTATCGGCGAGCTCATTCCAAACGATTTTTCCTATTCTTTTCTGAGAGCTATGGATTCGTTTGGGCTTTACATCCTTTTAAATCTGCTTCCAGAAGTCTTCTGCTAACTGTTCGAGCACTAACTGGTTTACTAAATTCATTCGAAAGGGCAGCTGCAAGGGCAGAAGAAGATTTTTTGCGATCCTTGAGAGACTCGCGTATAAGTATTCGGTCTTCTCGTTTACTGGTTAGACGCTTTCTTCCACTTTATGATTTATTATTGTGGGATTTTGTCTCCACAAATCGCCTGATAGCTCATTGGACCGCGCAAACTCAACCTGAGACTTACCTTCTGCACTTAGAACTTGAACTCTAATTCTATCACCGTAACTAATTTCACTTTTTTTAGGCATTTTATGAATTTCTTAAAAATGACAATTTTTAGGTTTAGCTTACCCAGAGTGCTATGACTTTTAATATTACACAATTTATTCGTTTAATCAACAGTTAAACATCCATGTAAGAGATTTACAAAAAGAAGTGGTAACTTTAATAGCCACATTTGAGAATACTTGTGTTTTAGTGGGGTGCCTTATACTTTTGGCCATGGCTGTATATGCCTCAATGAAAGCTTCCGTGGATAGGTAGAAATATTGCTTTCTTTACGGAAAGGTTTCACTGACAGACAGACAAAAATTATTATGATTTTGATATAAGCAATTCCTATACTCTCAACTTGAGTAAGAAACGGCATTGAGCCGAACGGTGCGCTTGAGTTACAAATATATTAATAATATAATAAAAAAATAATATTTTTAATTAGATGATGATTAATTAAATTCAGTTATTCAAATATAAATATTGAATATTATTTTTAAATATATTTTTAATTTATTTATGTCTATGATTTAAAAGTATAATTAATTTATAGACAGTTTTTTCTCGGTTACTAAAATATTATTTCTGTATATTTATTTATTTATTTTTAGTGCCGAAATTCTTTTAATAAATACTACTACTACTACTATATACATATGTACATATGTATATACATACATATATTTTAAAGGCAGTAATTGACGTGCAGAGTTTTACCCCGCAAAGCCACTTGTAAAGTGATAAGGTTGTTAAATATACATATAAATATATGCATACATATATACATACACAAGCGAATGTATGTAGATTCATATATGAACGATAGGGGACTTGAGATGACATTCGTACTGCATGCATTCCCTGAATAAAACGCTACATGCCATAATATAAAAATAAATACAAACACATAAGATATACATATATATACGAGTACATATAGACGAGTATATAAATATACTTGCTATAGAAGAGCAATGACAATGCATAAAAGCCGAGTGAGTTATGTAAATACATACATATGTATGTATATATAGTTGTTGGGGGAGTACCGGTGATGCTGAGTACATACATCTACATATAAATGTGTTTGTATATACATATTAATACAAGTACATATAAATGTGTTTGTATATACATATTAATACAAGTACATACTTCACATAAGTTTTTCCTATACACGTATGTACATATGTCTGATGATTAACCCAATTGTTATTGCAATTTTTTTTTAATAAATAATTCTTATATTCATTTGCAACACGCTTTACCCACTCTTTCTTTTTTACTAACAAATCGTCCCCCTTTGTCCTGTAAATGTTTTACCTATCAAGTGAAAAAAAAGAAAAAACGGCACTCTAAAGCTTTCTACTACACCTGATTTTGTTGTATTTGTAATGCCATCTCTTCTAATTGGCTGAAAAAAAATTTCTAAAAAATCATAAAAAAAGAAACTTACAAAGCAACTGTCAACAATGCGGGGTCTATAGGGTTCGTGCTTCCGTGGTTACTGACTGTTGTTGTATACATACATATATATGCATAATTATTTTCTTACTATGTATATGTGTAATTATTATTTTATTTCCTACTATTTTTCTGCTATTTTTGTATGTGTAAATATTTCTGTTATGTGAAATAGGTTTCTACTTACATACATAACACGCATACACTTACGAAGAGTGATGGAATAGAAAGCTTATATATTAGGTCAAGTAAAAAGTTCATTCGGTTTTTTTTTTTTTGATTTTTCAAATTGTGATAACTTTGTCAAATGTACACAATTTAATGAAAATTGCGCCGTCTTGTTTGTAAGCTTGTTGCCAACGAGATGCCAACTTCATTATACCCCTCTCGTAGAAGGCTGCGTCCCTATTGGCATAACCCTCGGCGAATTAATTTTCGCAGGTCTTTCTTGAGGCCAATCTCTCACCATTAAGCGCGCTCGCCGTGGACAGGAAAAGATGGTTGTCATTTGGTTCCAGGTCCGGATTATAAGGTGGGTGCATTAGGAGGACCTCCCATCCGAGCCCCTGGAGCTACTGGCACGTCACCAAAGACGTGTGTGGCCTGGCGTTGTCCTGATGGAACACAATTCGGCCTCTGTTGATCAAAGACATGTTTCAGCGCCGTATAGTATAACATGATGCGAGAAGTAAAACTAGTACTATGGACAATAGCGCCATCTCTTAGATGAAAACCGTTTTCAATGGTCAAACCATTACAGCCATGTGTGACCGAGCGTTGTCATGTGTTTCAGGCCAACCGTTTTTCACACAGCGTACTGTACAGCGTACTGTCTAGCGGTTGTTGCAAGTGATGTTAAATATAGTCCATTGGGTCGAATACTCCCTCTTTAATATGCCTGAGTAGAGATTCGGCTTCTAATAAATATCTGTTGGCATGATCCCTACGGCAGCAAGCTTGTAACTTCTTCAACTGCTTCTCTCTTAAACCTGGCGTCTAAACTGGTACAATATAGCTTACCATCGACCGACCAATTGCCTTGTAGGTTGGCAGAAACGTTTTTTAAGTTTTTCGAAAGAGACTGTGAGTATTTTTGGGTTGTTTATGGTCGGAATTTCAGCGACATAGACTTTCACATCGAGTTAGAACCCGTACTTCTTCGTCCAGTTGGTGAAGAGGGTAGCCGAGAATTTTTCTGGTTGCAGTCTTAAGTGTCTTGCAGTGAAGAAGTGGAAAGGGTCGTCGATATAACAGTTTACTTTCGAACAAAGGTCGTCAATATCCTAGACAGAAGCCAATATCGAGTAATGAATGTCATATGAGATCAGAGAAACCCCTTACTGTAAGGCAGGGAGTTTCGAAATATATATGTTAAAAAAAAACAATGGGGAGAGGATACCACACTGTGGAGCCCCTTGTTTAATCTTTCTGAGTTACCGTATTTGACTTCGAAATTTTAACGTTAATTGACGACCTATTCAACGCCGGCAGTAATGAGGATTCCTCAATGCCTGATAATAACACAGTAGTAGTTTTGTGTCAATGCTTTCAGATGGGTTTAGCAGCTTATAGTACACTACATCCGTGTGGTCACTCAAATGCAGATCATGTCCTTTGAGTCGAAAGTGGGTTTCTTAGATATCGATCGTCTATGATTAGGGAACGAGATCACCAGACATGGCATAGTAATTTATCTTCTTGGGGTTATCATGGTATGATAAATTCCCCTTACTTTGATGCCTCTTTCAAGAATCAGTTGCGAAGGGAAAAATCACATTTCGAAAACTCTCGGCTTCAACCGGTACGGCACCCAATTTCTTTGCTTTGGAATAAATCCAAATTACTTCAACCGAACAGAAAATGTTTGCTGAATCGCGGCCAAGGGTTTTGTGAGTTCAGCTTGAATTTGGCATGGATCATAATCCAGTAAAGCCTCTAATTCCTCATCTTAAATCTTTTTGGGCTGACCAGTACTCTCTTTGTCTTCGAGGCTAAAATCACCACTCTTGAAGCGTCGAAACCCCTTTATTCATGACATATCGATTCGCGCAAATTTGCCAAATGCGTCCACAAGCATTTGATAGGCTCCAGTTGCACTTTCCTCCTAATTAAAATAGAAAATAAAAAATTCAGAGCATGTCAAGACCTCCGGGTGTATATTTGACAAACAAAAAAAAGCCTCAGAAAAATCCATCCACCGTTCAGAGACGGTTTAGAATGAAGATTCAGATCAAGATTCAAAACCATCAATTAGTGCGAGGCCGAAAATCGCTTCAGCGGTTACAAATAACTTGAAGAAACTTACTCCAGATTTATTATAAAGCGTGTTTCAAAGCTTTAAAGCTAAAAATGGGAGTGAAGAATATTACGGCGCGTCTGTTGCTCACTGAGGCTCCCCAACTTTTCGCAACTTTAGTTTTGTACCGTGACGTTGTTATAGACTTTTGTCCAGGAACAAGGGAAGACATATAACTTTGGGGACATATGTTGATGTAGACTGACACCAAAAAAGGGCGGTTGAGTTGGCTTCTACTGTAGATATGAGTAGCTCAAATTTCTATTCTATCATTTTCTGTTACATATGTATATATAAAGCAATGAAACTCATTTGTATTTGCTGCGTTGTTTAGTCCTCTTCAATTTCTTACCTTTGAATAATTATTGTCACTTTTCCATTTTTTGTTCTTCTTTCACGTTCTTCTTACACTCAACATACAGGTGACACCATCAACAATGACGCCACCACTGCTGCTGCTGCCGCCGCCGCCGACAAACGTACAGCCGAAAACGTTGCGCCCACAAGCGCACACACCATCTCACCGTCCGATAGTGTAACAGAGAAACGCATAACATTCACCATAACCACCGACTCCTCACCCGAGGGTAGTCAAACGTTAACACCGAAAAAATTCGGTGCGATTGTCGAAGAAGATATGGCTGATGCGGCTGCTGCTGCTGCTGCAGCCAAGGCTATGCATGCCAACGACGAAGTAGTACTTCGTCCACCCCGTTACATTGATCGTCAGGCACACTTGTTGACCACCAGCTCGGGCATGACATCGCCGCGTAAGTTGAAGCGCAGCGCGACTAGTGTACCACAATTTAATGTACGCAGCGCTGCCAGTGAGACGGATATATTTGCGATTACCGGTTCCGGTTCGCGCATCAGCATGACACCCGAAGTACCATCGATATCGTTTAGCAATCTACCGAAGAACTACGAAGATACACCGACTATCGAGAAATATCGTGTGTCGCAAAGTCTCTACTCTATACAAACGGCAAATGCGGCGCGCGCCAATCAAGCTGATTACTCAATGCCACGCTATTTCCGACGTTCGGCAGCAATGTTGCAAACGCAGAGTAGTGAAATTTTATCGGCTGTGCCGTCTACAACATCGACCAATTCGATGACATCCTCCAATGAGGGTATACATCGACCGGAGAAGGCGAAGAGTAAGCGTTTGCAAATGTTGCGTGGCAATTTGCCGCCATTATTGATACACTCTGTGTCGTTCCGTAAGAATAAGGAGGAGGGTAAGCAATTGGATTAATCGCTAGCCTACAGTGGTGATTGCTGGGCAAGAAGAAAATGATGTAGGCAGCTAAATGGTTGATGTATGTAATTGGCGGTAGAAGAGGAACGTCAAAAATGGTAGCGATACCATTCGTGGGAGCGTGTTGTTATTGTTTTTAGCGTATAGTGAAAGCTTACAAAGTTCGCGTATATGGCTTTTACCGTTAGTTATTTGAAAATTGTAATAAAAAGCATAAGTTTATTATCCCTTGAAATTAGCGCACATATCCCAACATTCCTTGAAATTTTTATTAACATAAATTGGCTGAGAATTACAAAAAAATTTGTGTGCAATTTTTACGTTAAAAAGTTTGTTTCGTAGAATAATAAAATATATTTGCAACATTTTATTTTTCGCTTTATCGGAGCAAATCTTTAGAATTAAGAAGAAATTATTATAAAATTATAAAACACAATATAATTACTGAAATTGTTTAATTAAATTTTTTGTAATTGAAAGATTGACATCTAATGAAGTTTCCCAACACCATAAAATAAAAGCAGCTCAAATTTTATCTAAAAAAAAATTACATGAAAATAATAAAATAAAAATTAATTTAAGTAAATATGCGTTAACTGTATTAAAACTGAAAATTTTTTTATTAAAATTATTTTGTACTTAAAATTTTTCTAATACAAAAAAGTCTCCAATGATCTTAGATTGCATTAATGAAACTCAAGACTACTTAACAAGAGAGTCATAAATAAAGAGAGAGAGAGTGGAAGTGTAAAAAAAAGCATTTAGAGAAAGCGCTAAAAACTAAGTGAATTAAAAAGAAATTAATTTAAAACAATCACATGTACTTAATTGAACTGGAATAAGTAGTGAGAGTCTTTGGAGAAAACTTTTTTTTTTCATTCAAATGTTAAGCGCAAAAACCTCAAAGAGAATAGAAGGCGCCAACGAAGCTCTGCTGTATTAGAATGAGAATTTTAACACATTTCAAGCCGTGATCTTATTTTCGCAGTTTGTTATATAAGCAAGAAAACAAGTTTCCCATTAGCGAAGCTGCACTGTAAAGCTCAATAAAAAATATTGCAAATAAAAGCTCAAAATTGAAAAATCAAATGGAAATAAAAATAATCTATACGTTTATATCTATAAATATTTTAAAAATATAATTCAGTATTTGTTAAATGCATCTTTTTGAATACACAAACGCACATGTACTTATCGTATGTATGTACTCTATACATATACATACATACAAAAATCTATATATAATATATATGAAAATACATATCTTTATTGTATAGTTTAATAAATATTTATTGTTATAAAGAAAAATATTATACGAAATTTATACAAACATACATACACATATACATATGCGATATTATATTACTACAAATTTATATCAATAATGAAGTGAATTGAATAAAGTAAAATTATTAATTGCATTTAATTACAATAAATTAAGTAATATTATTTAAAATAGAAAGGAGGAAATGTAAGTATGTATTTATGAATGTAATGCTGTTAACTGGTTATATACACATCACATATGAATACTCGTATGTTTGTACATAATTGATTTATTCTGCGATAAATGCTTTTAGAGCAAAATCATTGCGCACTTTTAGGCATTTCTTTAAATGCAGCTTAAGATCGATTTTTAGTTACTTTTGTTTATAAATTTTTAGTAGCTGTGAATGCAAATGCGTAACTTTACATAATTAAAATTAATTTTTTTTTAGTTTTATTACATATTTTTTAGAGGCCACACTTAGTGTAGTGGTGCAAAAAAAGGTGATTTTTGGGAATTTTTAGTAAAAAAAAAATATTATATTATCATATATATATATATATATATATATATATATATTATATTTTTATATATTAATATATTATTATAATATTTTATTATATTATTAAATAATATCTCCCTTCCGCTTTTTTGTCTTTTGAATTTCGCGGCTATGTGCAAAGCGCTACAGAGCTCGTATCTGGCAACACTATACATAATTTGAAAGGTCTTGACATAACCTACAAAACAACGCTATGCATGATTAGTTTGGATATTGCGTTCAACAGTTATAGACGTGTAAGCATGGAGTTCACTAACGCCGCTATTTTAAAGTTTTCCTTCGTTAAAGGCAAATCCGCTAGAGAAACGTTCCGTGAGATTAATGGTGTTTTGGGGGATGGTACTCTATCACTTCGAATCGCGGAGGAATGGTTTCGACGATTCAGAGCCGGTGAAAACGACACCATGGATAAGACAGCCGGCGGAAGACCAGTGACGACAAATACCGATCAAATCATGGAGTACATCGAATCTCGTGACATCGCCCAGGAGATGGGAGTTAGTCACCAAACCATTTTGAACCATCTGCAGAAGGCTGGATACAAAAAAAAGTTTGATGTTTGGGTGCCGCATAATTTGACGCAAAAAAACCTTCTGGACCGAATCAACGCCTGCGATATGCTGCTGAAACGGAACGAGCTCGACCCATTCTTGAAGCGGATGGTCACTGGGGACGAAAAATGGATCACATACGATAATATCAAGCGAAAACGGTCGTGGTCGAAGGCCGGTGAATCGTCCCAAACAGTGGCCAAGCCGGGATTGACGGCCAGGAAGGTCTTGCTGTATGTTTGGTGGGATTGGAAGGGAATCATCCACTATGAGCCGCTCCCATATGGCCAGACGCTTAATTCTACCATCTATTGCGAACAACTGGACCGCTTGAAGCAGGCGATCGACCAGAAGCGTCCAGAATTGGCCAACAGGAAGTGTATAGTGTTCTACCAGGACAATGCCAGACCACACACTTCGTTGATGACTCGTCAGAAGCTACGGGAGCTCGGATGGGAGGTTTTATCGCATCCACCATATAGCCCGGACGTAGCGCCAAGTGATTACCACCTGTTCCTGTCCATGGCAAATGCCCTTGGTGGAGCGAAGTTGAACTCAAAATAGGCTTGTGAAAAGTGGCTGTCCGAATTCTTCGCCAATAAGGAGGGGGGCTTCTACGAGGTTTTCACTCGTAGCTAATGAGACTCTCTAGCTGCCAAGCGGCTGCTCTTATTTGAGATATCGATTTGAAATTTTAATTTTATATTTTTAAAGGTGTAATCTACCGAAATATGAATAAAATAGAACACTAGCTGTGCCCCTAAAATTAAATATTTTTTTTGTGTATATGTACGAGTAAAATTATGTAAAAAAATTACTGCAAACTGTTTGATTTAATTCAACCTCGTGTTTTTTTTGCCCAATGTAGTCCAAGCGACCACTTTTCCTGACCAAAAGACAATATTTTCCAGAGCATGCATATCTACATATATAATCCTTTTCCGAAAAGTGGCCGTGTTATCGACCTTTGCTGCTATTTTATTATTATTTTTGTTTATCGATTTTGTATATTTTTTTGCTATTAGTTTTGTAATAGTGTTTGAATAATAAAAAATTATTTTATTATAATTTTTTAAAATAATAAGTTTTGTGTTGGACGTGATGTTGATGAAAATTTAGGTCATTTACATGATGTCATGTGATGCGAAGATGCGGGATAGGATGTGATGTACGAGATGGAATGTTATGAAAAGGGTAGTGTGTTATTATGGATGATGCAAAGTGATGAGAGGCCAAGTTGTGGGATGTTATGAGATGGAAAGTTATGTGATGTGATGGGAAATGATATGGTGCAAAGTTATGTGATGCGATGTGATTGAAAGTTATGTGACATCCAAGATGTGATATTATGCAAAGGATGAGATGCGGAGTGATGGGTTGCGATGAGATTTACAGTTATGTGATGTGAACTACGAGATGGCAGGTAAATTAATGTTATGTGAAGAGATATGACATCACGTGATGCGATATGAGGCGATGTGACTTATTATGATGTGTTGCCTTGTTATATTATGTCATCTGATGTACATGATGTGATGTGATGAGAAAGGAATGAGAGTTGGGTATTGTATTATATGATGTCAAAGATGTGATGTTATATGATGTCATGTGATGCGAACTGGTATAAATGTTGGATGCTGTAAGATATGATGTCATGTGAAATCATGTGCTTGGTATTTGACAGCTTATGCTTGAATGTGAGAAATAAAAACTTAACATATAATATATTATATATTATAAAAAAACAATATATATAAGTGTATGTTGTATGGATCAGATAAGGAAGGAAACCTTCTAAAAGAGTGTTATTTCCAATTATTTCATAATAGGTATATATAATTTTTATTTCAAATATATTTTTGTTTAATTTTTTTTTTGTTGGTCTATCTTAAAGAACACATTTATTTTTACGATTTTTATTGTATTGGGTTTTTTTATAAAAAAATAATAAAATAATAACCAGAAATCACAAGGTATTCATAAGCAATCGATTCGAGAGAAGGAAGAATTAATCGTTCTTTCAACAGTGTGGGATGGCGCGTTGACCTGATGTGAAAAGTATCGCCGAAAATCTTCTTGCCTCCTGTTTTTCAAACAAATTTTTGAAAACTTTTATTAAGCACTCATCGGTGTACCACTTTGCAGTTACCGTCTGACCTTTTTCCAGTTTAATTTCAGCTACGACTCAGATTAGATCGGGTGAAGTAAACTTCATCATTACTTTTGTTGCTAAGTTTTGTTACTCCTATTTTGCTCCATACCAAAGACTGCTGGTTGGTTTCTGGATCGTACTTATAGACCCAAGATTCGTCACCAGTAACGACTTTACTAAAGTTGCTAGACTGTAGACTGACCATTTTCGAATTCGCCAAGAAAAAATTGAGCAAAAAGGGCCTCAAGTCTAATTCATTAGCAATCATTTCTTGTGTCAATCGTTGGTTTTCGTCAATTTTTAACTTCACCAGAGCTACGGTGACATCATCAGTAGATGATTTTGGTCGACCTTTTCGAGGTACGTCCTTTCGGTTCGGAAAATGTTAGGTCTAAAATCTTCGGAGCCACTTAGAGCTTGTCGTTAAAGACAGTTCCATCGTCCATATGCAATTCACTGAATTTTCGTTTTGGTTATAAATTACGCCGAAACCAGAAGAGAATCGCAAGGTGAATTTCAGTTTGCCTTGGTAGTGAAATTTCGTCCGACCTATCCTCAGCTATCTTGCGCTTTCTCATCTCTATTTTAGCCGATCATTCTAAGTATTTGACAGGAAAACTAACAGAGTAATTGGAAAGGAATTGGTATTTTCAGATTCAACAAAAACAAATTGATAGTCACTGACTGAATGAACTTATGTTAGCCCCCTCGTATATTATTTAAATATACCATATAAATAAATTAATTAGTCAGATGTTTGGGAGTGCCTACTGCCATTTAGAAGGCCAGCGTTCAAAAAATTATACAAATTTATAAAAACATACTAAAAGTTGTTGACACTCTTTGTATAATGGTGACCGCAATAAATTTAAGTTTATTAATTCTTGTAATTTAACTAAGGAAATATTATTATTTTTTTATTTTTTTTATAACTTGATTCTCACATTTCAAATATTACATACGTTTGCAATTAGTTTTTCGAGATAAAGAGAATCCATTTTTGTATTTTGTGAATTTTTTTTATGGAAAAAAATTTTAAGAAAATATTTTAATTTCTGCCACTTTGAATGTCGTGTGTGAATATGTCGATTTTCTTAGCAGTGTACTAATAAATAAATTCGTTAAATTTTCATGTACTAATGCTCGATGTGTGCGAATTCTTTCTTCCAGCTTAGGAGTGATACTAGAATTTACAACAACAAACTGAGTTGTGCATATTTCTAGATGTCTCTTTTGTAGTTGCAAGGAATGGCAAAAATTTGCTAGAAATGTGTTGCATAGCAATGCGAACAGCAAAGAAAAAAAAATACAGTTAAACAATAATAAACCTTTAAGGAAATAACAAAAGAATAAATAAAAAAGAAAACTGTTATGTATGTATTGGTATAATGGCGAAAATGTCTGAAATATCGGCATCTCTGGGTGCGTAACATTTTTTAAATACTCATGTTTTGGTCAGAGAAAGAGAGTGATGTTGAAGTGTAGGCCATTCATGTGCTTACTTTGGCAACCAAATCACATACACATGCCAGATTATAATAATTCAACTATCTTTCTACTAAGATTTCCGTATTTCGTATACAATTGATACATGACAATGATTGTCTCCGAGTAATCGTTTTCCCTATTGTTACTCATACGCCGTGGAGAGTCAACTCATTTCGATCATTATTGAGCGATCTAAGTAAAAATCACACTGTACTTAGCCCTTCAACTTCTTCCAGTACAAGCTACTATCATTAAGTTATGGCTCCTGTGGTATGAACCAAATTCTTTACATTGTTACAAGCAAAACTGATTGAGATTTTAACTTCAACTTTTTGTTTGCCAGCAGATTTTTTATTTAAGGCTTTCTTCACGTTAAAGTATATAGTTGTGCCGATAGCACAAGAAAATGACCGCCTTCTCCTACACTCTACATGCCCTAAAAATCTTGCTTAACCCAAATGGATTTAAAAATAAGCCGGGTTTTAGAGAATCTAATAACTAAAGATTTTTGTGTTCATACACACATTTAATTAAGTTGAAACAATTAGCTGGTTCCAAATATTTTGTTTGTAAAAAATTTATGTTCGAAGAAAAAGTACAAAATTTAAAAATTTTTTTTTGAAAGTTCGATAATATACCAAAAATATTCCAGTGAATACAATCAAGTTTTTATCACATACTTGTTTTTGAAAACTAACCAAAGCTAACTAATGGGCTTGGTTAATCATTTAAATAATGTTTTCAAAAATGTATGAAATATTAAAAATTTTTCCAACAAAAATTTATTGATTCACAATTATTTTTGTTATAACTTTAAAGTGAACTGAAGGCCTTCTTTGTTTGTATAAATTGAATATTTTTGTCATGCCACAAGGAAAATGGTAGAAGTGACAGCTGTTTCGCTGATCACCACATCTCCTCATCAGACTTCTTATGATAGGGATCAAACCAACCGGTCGTGACTTACCAGTCGAGTGCTCTACCACTGCGTAAACATTTAATTTATTAAATTATTTAATAAGCATTTTTAGTCGCTTAAAATATTTCCGGTCTGGACTTTTATTAGTCTTTTACACTAACTCGCGTTTGAGCGGCTGGTGGAAATATGAGAAATATAATCGAAGGTGTTGGTATTACCTGTGTTTGGGCGCTTAAAAAAATAGATGTTAGTCTGGCGTCGGCTAGAATTCATGAGCAACCGTTTAGTGACATATGATCCTACTCACTCTCATCTTCTACAGCTTAAAATTATATACCATTTTTTCGGCAAACTGTTCCTATTTTTTTTTTTAGTTTTGAGTGTAAATGACTTTGTTATACTACTACTAAACCAAACTGATCCATTGCTTCTCTCATTTAACACATTACATATGGTTGCTTAAGCAACTTAAGGAAATTTATTACATTTGACTAGTCACTCATTATATATATGTAATTGGCGCTTTATAACCGCAGAGGCGATTTTCGGCCGGGCTCCTTCTCCAGTTTGTGGTTTTGCGTCTTGATATTTTTCCAACAAAAGCCCTATGGATTTTTATGAGAAGCTTTTATTTCATATCAGTAATACACCTGGAAGGTTTGACATTCTGTGCCAGGGGGTGATCGCGTTTATGGGGCATAAATTAAAATGATTCGTTTTCAAAAGATTGCTCCACTTGCAAGTCGACCTTAGAAGGTTTCAAATCTGTCAAGAAATGTGATTGTGCATCGGCGTCCGTTTCTCACAAATACACTTTGAAAATATCCCGATTGCGAGTTGTATCAAATAGACAGCATCTACGGAATATTTATATTTTTTATTTATATTTTATCTAATTGGAAAAAAAGTTTAGCTAAAACCCACTAAGTACAATACTTGGAGAAATTTATGGTGAATCTTCACCGACCGATAAGTGATACGGAGACTGATTTCGATGCTTCAAAGTTGTGATTTCGGCGTCGAAGGGAAAGAGCATACTGACCAACCCAAAAAATTTGCTCGGCGTATAAGACCACCTCTTGGGTACATCAAGACCACATACTTGGTCCTTTATTGTTTATTCTTTTTCTAAATCATATTATTTCCGCAGGGGGATCTTAACAATTTAGCTCATTGGTTTATTAAGAATAATTTGCAGCTGAATATCAAAAACTGTTTAAATAGGATCGATAACAGAATTTCTTCTGTTGGCGATCTTTTGAAAATTTGTGTATATTTTGATGCGGAATTTACGTTCGCTAATCACATAAACTGTATTATTCTTAAAGCTTAATTTAAGCTTATTTGTTTACTGCGATTCGGTGGTGATTTTAAAGATCTCTACATACATACTTTTTTTTGGATCGTTCAAAGCTGGAATTCAATTTCATTTTATATATTTCTCCAAAACGTAGATTTATTTGTTTTGCTGTCTCTCCGCTTTATTTCTTCGATCCCCTACCTTCTTATACTTTCCGTTGTACTACTTCTGTTCAAAAAGTAAGGTGGATTTGTTTGTAAAATTAGAAATTTTTTGTTATTCTTCTACATCGTTTTCGCCGCTTCAAAAAAGTCCCCCTGCCGATGCCATGCACTTATGCCAACGCCTTTTCCAATTATCGAAGCATGTCAAATAGTCAAGCTCTGGTGTGGCCTTCAGAAAGCGCACCGATTCACGTTTAATCTCCTCAATCGACTCAAAACGGTGTCCTCGAAGTGGTCTCTTGAGCTTTTGGAGTCAGAAGTCACATGGTGCTAACTCCGGCGAATACAGTGGTTGGGGAACGATATTCGTGGAATTTTTGGCGAAATGGTCACGAGGAATGAGTGCTGTGTGCGACGGTGCATTAACGTGATGCAAAAACCAAGAGCTGTTGGCCCATAACTCTTGTCTTATTTCTGCTAATTGCTTCACGCATAACGCTTTAATAATATTCCCTATTTTCCATTTGACCGCGCGGAAGGACCACATAGTGCACCACACCACGAAAATCGAAGACTGAAGTCAACAAGACCTTAATTTTTGAGCGACTTTGACGTAATTTTTTCAGTCTTGCCTCACCTTTAGCACGATATTCTTTGAAGTCTTTGTACCATTTATACACGTTCTTCTGCGACATGGTCAAGTTTTCAAAGGCTTTCTGTAGCATCCTCAACGTTTCAGCAGCCGGAAATTCGTTCTACAAACTAAATTTGATCGCAATTTTGCTTTGCTCATTTCAAACAGTCATTATAAAAATCGCCGAAGGCGCTTTGAGTCGTTTAGTAAACACAAGCGTAACTAAAATACCAATGATGACATTGCCATGAAGTTTGGCGTAGATGCCAATAACAGTGCTTCCAACATTAAGAAAAAGAGTTTACCCGAAATATTAAACGCGCGAAGCTCAAATTAAAAATTCACCTCACTTTTTGCCCAAAATAGTGTGCTTATATCATCATCTATGGCTTAGTGGACTATCCAGAGCTGTTTGAGCAAATTAGCTTTGATGTTGCTCATAGAATTTTGCGCAGCCATTTTGCGTTTTATTTAGATGTAATAAAAGTGAAATATCGTTAGAACACTCTCTGAATTTAATATGATCCTAAAGAGCCTTGATATCGATTTTGGATTACCTAGATCTCGTTTTCTCTACCTAATTGAATCTTTCTATTCATTGGTCTGTATCGGGAAGAATGGCTCAATGGGTGAAACGAGGACGGAAAGCAATCTACCAGATAGATGGGATGAAGCAGTCGCTTCCGACGAAGTGTACTTTGAATGATGTAGCTTTTACATTTTGGTAGGACCAAAACATTTAAGCCTCAGCCTGATAGTATGCAGTACTAACTATTTGGCTCTTGTGGAACTCCATTAGCTTTCAATAATTTCACATAAATATTTTAATTATTTTTTTATTAATTTATTTTTTTCTGTTTTAAATAATTCTTCAAACAATTAAAATTATACACTACCTATTTTTAGTTATTTTCTTTATAAGTATAATCGAAAGTACCATAATTTTCGTATTTCCCATCCTGATACTTCTCCTCCAACAACTCATGATACACCTTAACATTCTTCATGAACATATTCGGCACGAGGAACTCAGTTTCAATGATCGGCCGATCGAATGGATAATCAAAAGGCTTATTATCAATATACCTTTTGCCCGATCCAACGCCGCCACTGAATGAACTGTGCTCATAACTGGGATAACGCACATGCGGACCTGTATATGGAGCAACGAAAAAGAATAGCTGCATTGGATAACCTTTCGCCCAACCTTGCGGCAATAGTAGACGATCGGGGAATCCCCAGTGTTGTTGTGTGACATTCAATTCTAACGGTTTCTCTCCACCTAGGGCAATAATTACCGCGTGATAGAGTTCAGCGTAGGTGCGGCGATCGTCAATAGTCCAATAGAAGTCACGCGAGTCGCGTTTAATAGTATTTTTACCAGCCACTAGCTCATAGATGAACTCATCAATTTCAATGAAATTTTCACGATACTCAGCCAATGAAAGTGCGCGTCTATTTTGATCATAGCACGGACCAAGGAACGCACGCACCACAACTTTTTGTGGCTGCTCCGCTTCGATTGTGTAATCCAACGTGAATGGTTTGTGATTTAGACGTTGTTGACGAGCCAAGAATATTTTATCGAAAACATAAGTGTCTTCGATGAAAAGTGTTTCATCATTCAAAAGAGTGGAAACATCAAAATGGCTAAAATCGAAATATGTCATCAGCTCACTCACTTGCACATCCGTCAAACGTACGCCGGGCAAGAGGAGCTCATCACGCGTATAAGCGGGCAGAAGCGAATTAAATTTGTAGATTACCTGGTAGAAACGTTTATAATAACTGTAAGTGAATGGATCGCGGAACATGGTTTCATGATTAACAAAGATGTGCGGCAGTACATGCAATTGGTTTGCATCCACGCCAGCGAAGTACATGTGCGAGAAGATACGCCAGTAGATGGCAAAGTGAGAATCAAATAAATCGGCATTGCCTTCCATGAAGTTTGCCATCACTTCTATAGACTCCGGTCGCCGCAAATCGATAAATGTGCCGTTTTTGGTCATGAAATGACCTTTCTCCAGTAGCAGGGTCACACGTTTGTAGTAATAAATGAAACGATTGAATTGATCGAAATCCGTATAGTGCATATAATCGAAATCATTTTGACGATAACCAAATTGTATGCCATTATAACTGATCAATTGTGGATTGTAGCCATGTTCGAAAACGGACTCTGCCGAGTATTCGGGTGTTTCGCCGAGCTCTTGCGACAAGCGCTCCCACTGATAACGCGTCAGCATTGTTTTCAACGCATTTGCCCAGTGCTCGCCACGACGATCCGCAGCAAAATTATATTTTGTGCTATTCATGAAGTAAGCATAGTCCATGTTTGCATAATACCAATACGAATTCCAGTCCACATCTTCGGTGAAGTACGACAATTTCGAATGTTCGTTATAATACTCAATATTGCGTGTGTAATCGGTGGGCATAGTGAATATACGTGTACCCTTGGCCATATTGGAAAAACGTGCGGTTTTATAATTTCCCACAGCAATATCAGCCAATTTGGTCATATCCTCCGTATACCATTGCTCACCTAAGCCCATCATCTTCCACCATTGCCAAGTTTTCCAGTCTTTTGTATAAATGTAAGCATGTTGCTTGTATGCATCCCTATTCTCTTGATACAGAAAGTCCTTATATTCCTTCTCGTACATTATTTGCCTAATCCACATATTATAATCGAATTTCTCCGTTTCGTAGATGAGTTTGCTTGTGAAAAAATGTTGTGGTAATATTTCATAAATTGGCGGCAACATGAGACCCTCAAAATCATCTCGATGTATTACGGCTAACGTGAGCGCCGCCACAAACATACCCTCGCTCACATGCATGCGCGCCCAACTGGCGACATGCATAAACGCCTCGAAGTCCTTGGCGTAGTAGAAGTAATTGAAGAGACCCCATACTTGTGTCATGTGCGATTTCACTAAAGCACCGAAGAATTCACCACGCGGCAGTATGTAGCCGGCCTTGTAAGCCGTTTCGAACTGCACCATGTGTTCGTCGTATACCTAGAGAGTGAGAGAAAAGAAATAAGCTTGTGTTAAAGGCAGTCAAAATATTTGGTGTATATCATTTGAAAATATGAAATCGAAAATCTGCTTAAATCTTATTTCAAAAAAAAGACAGCAATATTTTTTTTTTATAAAAAACTTTTATTTCATACTCAAGTTAAAATATTTAAAAAGCTTATATTTCCAATGTAATTCTTCTGAGGACTACTAGAGATACTTTGTCACAGTAGTATTTATCAACATTTAAGCCCAAAAACTAGCTTTGAATTTTTCTTCATCGCGTTTTCACACTTAAGCCAGTGTTCTGCTAAGAATTATTATTTATTATAATTAATTTCTTTTTTTTTATCAGGCGTACAACTTTGCTTCCGCAGTTTTCCGATAGGTGGCTGTACCGGCTGAGGGTGGTTAAAATACATAGATGATAATGCCTTTAAAGTGAGTGTGGACAGTGCCTAACGAATTGTCATCGCCGTTTCAGTGACAGTTGTTCTTGTTTTCGTATTATTCACGCTCGAAAATGTCCGTTTATGTGCCTAATTCTCGCCATTTGCGGGAAGTTTTACTTTTCTGTTACAATTCGAAAAAAATGCAGCTGAAGCGCACCGATTGCTCTCAGAAATTTACGGTGATGCTGCTCTGAGTGAAAGAACGTGTCGGGAGTGGCTTTAACTTTTTAAAAATGATTTCGATGTCGAAGACAAACATGGTGGTTATGATTTGTATTTGCTGGGATCAGCTCGGTGTGATTTACTACGAGCTCTTAAAATCGGGTGAAACCATCACAGGAGATCGCTACCGAACGCAACTGATGCGGCTTAGTTGCGCGCTAAAAGAAAAGCGGCCGCAATATAAAGAGCGACATGACAAAGTCATCCTCCCACACGACAATGCTCGGCCTCACGTCGCAAAAGTGGTCAAAAAGTACCTGGAAACGTTGAAATGGGAAGTCTTACCCCACCCACCGTATTCCCCAGATATCGCCCCTTCTGACTTCCACCTATTCCATTCGATGGCACACGGCCTGACAGATCAACATTTTCAATCCTTCGAAGAATTGGAAAAATGGATTGCTTCATGGATAGCGTCAAAAGAGGACTCCTTTTTTCGAGCCGGGATCCGAAAATTGCCGAAAAGATGGGAGAAAGTTGTCGCTAGCGAAGGACAAAACTTTGAATAATATTTCTGTAAGCACTTTTTCGCAATAAAGCTTTTAACTTTGGAAAAAAAAACGGCGGAAGCAAAGTCATCTAGTAAATATTTGCTATTTGTTAGTGTTTTGTTTATTACATATTATTTTGTATTATTTTATTTTTTTTACATTTATTTAAATTATTTTTTAATTTATTATTTTTATTATATTGTAAATTTTATTGCCCGCACTTTATATTCACCATATCTAAATAAATGCGTATCTCTCTACTCACCACAAAGTCATTTTTGTCGAAATGAAAGTCTGCAGCATAGTTTAGATATTTTGCGAACAACAGCGGGCTCTCAAGGCGATGCAAAATTTCGAGTAGAAATTTTTGCTTTTGTAAAAATGCTCGATCCGCGTATTTCACTTCATGTTGCGTTGGTTCTAAAATTTGAGCAGCCACTAGAACGCAGCCCACCACAATGCTGGCGATGAAGGCGCTGAGAAGCTTCATTTTCTCATCGAAGCTCAGCAGACACTGTGTAATGTTGCTAGCAAAGTGACTACCTTTATAGTATTTTTCAGTATTTTAATTACTGCAGATATGCTTTCTATTATGGTGTACCACATTAACACCTTTTGACCTCAGTCTAATCCTCAATGATTTGCACGCAGCATATAGTGATAAGGCAACATGCATACATACGAGTATATGCATATGCACATTTTTAGGCATAGTTGACGGTATTTATATTATTTTAGAAATCGTCTTTATCAGTTCACAAGCCATAGGTTTCACTAATAATTTTTATGAAACCAAAAATTCGAATTTTTTTTGATAAGAATTTACTCTTAAATCACCTGTTCTACCAAATTGCATAAATAAGAGTCAAATTTAATTCTCTTTAAAATATTAAAATCATAAGAGATGTCTCGTGGGGAAAGCTAAAACAACTTTTGTTTAGTTCATGATTCTTGCTGGCAGTGGCTGTGATAAATGAAAAAAAAAAAATCGCTGCCTATATTTTGGTGGACAGAGGGAGACTAGAAGATGGAAATGAGATGAAAAAGACAGTGGAAATGGTAGAAAATGAAATGACTTACAAATAGTTTTAAAATTAAATCTCAGAGAACCAGGAATCCGGTAACTGACAGTCGATCCGACTAAAATTAAAGTCACATAAGCAATGGCTAACTTGAAGAATTACACAGTGGTGAGAGACGATGACACGCTGAGTGAGCTATCCAAGCTCGACGGTGAAGAACTGACAAAGCGAATGCATCAGTTCTTTGCAGAATATGATCGGACGATCGGCTTGCATGACAATTGCAACACGAAAGTGTCTGTTCAAATCTAAGGTTCGCTCTGTTCTGTGTTTTATAATTAACGTTCAACGAACTGAACGTGCGGAAATATCGATAAAGAAAGAATCAACACATATCGAATCTTCGTCAGTTTTAAAGCGGCTTGCGATACTAAGAAGATGAAATGAATTGCCTCTATGCCGCTATATCTATGGTTGGAATCCCCGCCAAACTTATACGTCACCTAGCACGTAACATGAACAGCTCTGTCAGAATTTGGAAGGAGCCTTTCTCAGCTGTACGGCCCTAAATGAGACTTGAGTCGTTGTGATTCTGATCAGATCAGATGATACTTTAGAAGTAAAATCCTCTCTGGACAAGCAAATACTAAACACTGGCGGTCGAAGTAGCCGAGTGGTTGGCATTGCGTACTGACATTCGGAAGCATTATTATCATATCCCGGTGCGACCAAGGTCCAAAAGTTATGTAAAACTAATTAAAATAAAAACTTAAGTCAAATTTTCCAATTGCGGTTGCCCTTCGGCAGGGAATGTACACCCCTCCGATTGTATTTCGGATGGTCAATAAAGGCTCCTCGTAAAAAAAGCCAACAGCCGTTCGGAGGCGGCTTAGTATATGCAGTAGGTCTCTCCATTTGTTGAAAAAAAGTCACTCAGAATTCACGTCGTACTTTATGGCGCAGAGGCGTCGACAATGACGCGATCCGATGATGGAACGATGGACTTTACGGCACTTACATAGTACAGCGAATTAAAAGACCCCGGGCAATGCTGGTCAGGTCATGAGGCCCGTATGAATAAGAATACTAAAGCTTTATAGTATTTGACGTAGTATCAGCCTGTAAAAAAAGAGGAATACTTCCACTACGTCGGGAAGATCAGGTGGGAAATATTTTTGTGTCTCCAATTGGTACCAAGGGCGAAGAAACAGCAGCAGCATATTTAAGGACTTAACCTTCTTTGATGACTTTCCAACATTTTTTAGGACTACCACTGGTCTCCACATACGTATGCGAACTCAATTTGGCATTTGGTATTAATTATGGATTCTGTATTAATTTTTTACCACCGATAAGGAGCTACTACTTTCAGTAATCTCAGCATTTATTTCATTGGGGAGGTTTCACATTTGCAAAACAGTAAGCATTGCAGCAGAAGCCTCGAAGACATAGAGAATTCCTGGCCAACCCAAAGGGTTTGAAGGTGAGGTGTTGCAGGCTTTACTTCATAAAGATGCCTGCTAAATGCACACTGAACAGAATGATGCATAATTTTTAGCGGTGATTAAAAAACCAAAATTCCGTTAGGATCGGGTGCCGCAAGAGTTGAAGCCGAGAGATGTCAAAAGACGATTTTCCACCTCTTAACTGCTTTTTGAAAAACACCAAAGGCGGGGACTTTTACATCAGTTCATTTCTCGAAATAAAAAGTGGATTTACTACGATAACCTCAAGAAGAAAAAATTGGACGCCGAGTCCACTGAACCCGTTTCATCATCGATTACATGGAGGCTAAAGAAAAACATGCACGTTTTTTCATTTGGTGGGACCAGACAGATATGGTGCACAGATACGACAGTTAATTTTGCGATAAGACAATCCTCGGCACAGCTGAAATGGTTGAAGTGGGATGTCTTATCTCACCTCCCAGGTCATGTTCCTTTCGACTACTGGCTTTTTCGATGGATGAAAAACGATTTTGCGCAATTATTGGATCAAGGACAGAGAGGACTCATTTTTTATTCGACATTTATCAGAGAGATGGTATACAGTGGGGTGGTCGCCTTCGACAGACAATACTGTCGACGATTTTTCGTTTACTTTTCTTCAATGAAAAAAAAAACAACGTTTTAAACACAGAAAACAGGACACCGATTTAATTTAAACGCCATAGTTAAAATCACTAACTTCACACCTTACTTACATGTGACCGCGGCAGGGTTAGGTCATCAACAAACCTACAGCCTGTGGCCGGAACAGAACCGGCTGTAGGGACAATTGAACTACACACTTATCTCCTCCCTTACCCAACAGATTTTTTTGCGGTAATTGCTTCAAGCGCTTTCTTTTTCCGACATTTGACAATTTGATGCTTTTATAATATTTCGCAACTCTCTGGACCATTATGAACAACTTAAAGTGAATTAATGGCCAACATTAAACGCAAAGTTCAAAGTGAGGCCGCCAGAGCTTAAAAGCTACTAAACAATTTTCACATAAAAGAACAACACTCATACACAAGCATATGTATGTGTATGTATTTAAAATATTTCCTGCTCTCATTTGTCACATTGGTTTGTTATTGTCTCGGTCAAAATACTCGTGCCGCCTTCAACTTCCCTTGGATGGTTGTAGATATATGTGAATGCATGACTATGTGTGTATGTACATGTTTTAACGATAGTTGTGCAATTAAGTCTCTTGCGTAAACGTAATTATTTAAGCTCATAATTATGTTGCTGCAAGCACCAATAATGTTGGAAATATGCATATATGTTTGAATGTGTGTGTGGTGTGTGGTGTGTGTGTGTTACTCACATTTTATGCCTGCAACAGGATACTCATTTGTTCAGTCTGGGTATCCATTTCATCATTAAATCTTGATCCTTAAACATTTAATGGGTCTCCTATGCATTCATTCAGTTCACCACGAGCCTGCTGCAGTCATTAAAGTAGTTCTTATCAGTGCCGTGCGTGTGTGTTTTATAATCTTGAGATTATTAATTTGAAAGAGGAATATTTTGTGTGTAAAATAAAGGAACATGCGTGCAAGTAAAAAATATACTTATATACAAACAAGTATATTCAGCGAAGCTACAATTGTCTATCTGCACATGATTATAAATATATTAAGAACCTGTCAACTTGCCCTTGTAGGGCCAAGACATTAAATGCCAATCAAGTTACATTCTCAAAACTAAAATAGAGACGTTAATGATAAACCAATATTATTTTACTTTCCTTGGCTAAGTTTTTGCTAATATATAAAAGGCTTTTTAAATGAAAAAAAAAGACTTGGGGAAAAGAAAAAAATTATATAAAATAAAAAAAATTACCAAAAATAGAATAAAATAAAATTAATTAAAATAAAACATCATAAAAAAACAAAAACCAAATAAAATAAAAACAAATAAAATAAAAGAAAAAACAAAATAAGATAATATAATAAAAAAGAAAATAAAATAAAATATTTAATTAATTAAATAAAAAATAATAAGAAAAGAATAGTAAAATAAAACACAAAAAGAAAATAAACTAAAATAACATAATATAAAGCAAAATAAAATAAAATAAAATAAATAAAACTAAAATAAAATAGACTTAACTAAAATAAAATGAAATAAAATAAGACAAAACAAATTGAAAAAAAAAACAAAGAAAATAAAATAGAATAAAAAATAAATTAAAATAAACTAAAATGTATTAAAATAAATAAAAAATTAAATAAAATAAAAATAGTATACAATATAATTAAAATATTATAAAAGGAAATGAAATTACATAAAATAAAATAAAATTGTAAGTTAAGTAAAATAAAATAAAAAAATAAAGTAAAAGAGATAAATAAAAATAAATAAAAAAGTAAAGCAAAATAAAATATATTGAAATAAAGAAAAATGAAATAACACAAAAGAATATAAACAACATAAAATAAAATAATTTATAAAAATGAAAGGAAAAAAAAACATAAAATAAAAATAATGGAAAAAGCTACAGTAAAGAATAAAATAAATTAAAATAAAATGGAATGAAATAAAGCAAAATAAAATAATCTGAAATAACATAAAAGAAAATAAAATAAGCTAAAAAATAAAATGAAAAAAAAAAAACGAAATAAAAAAATGAAAGATATTAAAAAAAAAATAATAAAATGAGCTAAAGTAATAAATAAAATAAATATAAGAAAATAAAATAAACAAAAGAAAATAAAAAAATAAATAAAATAAAATACAATGAAATAGTATAAATTAAATAGAAGTAAAAAAAAATTAAATAATTAAAATAATATTAAATAAAAAAATAAGTAAAATGGATTAAAATTAAATTAAATTAAGTAATATAATATAAACTAATATAAAATAAATTAAGAATTATGAAGTTAAACAATATAAAATATAATAGAACACAATAAAATGAGTAAAATAAAGAATAAAATTAAATTCAATAAATTGAAATGAAATAAATTTAA